TCCCTACACATTTTTAATTTCCTAGAAGGTATTACACAGCTCCTACTCTAATACATTAGCTGCACAAGGTGGTACTGGGTATACATTCACTGCTTGCTGAAAACTTGTAAGATAAGAATTACTTTCTAGTTCAGCTGGAAAGATTCTGGAAAAGGTACTTGTGAGAAATACTCACAAACTGCTCATAGAGATATAAGAGGATTCAGCAGAATTCAGCACAAACTGCAACTTCCAAGGTATTCTAAGGATGCCAGCAGTTCCCTTACTTTCCATCCCTCAAATACTTATTATGTATAAAAGCTTAAGTGCAAATGGTGCAATGTAATTTTTTAGGAGAAAAATGTGACAGAGCTAAGTTAGCAGGCAGAGGTACGCACTCAGTCTCTGCTCTCTACCAAAAGCTTCACCTTTTTCTTTCTTGCTCGTCTTTCTCGATCTTATGGGAGGTGACGTATGTTGAAAACAGATGACAACATCTATTTAAGAGCTTCACAAACTCTGCCATGGCTTCTTGTTTTGACATATTTCCAAGGGCAACCCATTCTTTCCTGAGAGAAAAAAAAAAAGTATAAAAACAACAAAAAGAGTCTTGATACCCACGTGCATTAATGACACGATAGTTCTAGAACAAGTAGTTTCAACTCTTGCAGGAAGCAGCATTTGACTTTGTAGAGCTCCCAAGCACTTCTCTCACAATCCAACTTGTGAGTTAGGGGGTAAAAATTTAAGGACTTTGTTAAAGTATTCCCAATAAATCTTCAAACATATGCTATTAAAACTACAGACAACTTTGCATCATACTTTGAACATTTTAAAATGCAGGTAAACTGGCAAGTAGTTACCTGGTATACTCTTCCTTCCTTTGTTCTGTTTTATGATCAACACAGTCAACTGGCACATACTACAGCTTTACAGAGATGCATCGATCCATATCATATCGGCATCGATAAAAGAAAAATTGACATTATTGACAATTGGCTTTTTTTGGCTGATGTGGCTGGCAATGTTGCCAATAAATGCTGTGTGCAGCTGCAGCATGCATGGGGCCAGAAATGCAACCCAGCAGCTAGGAGAGAGAGTCTGGCAGGTAAGTTGGGGTGGGGGGGAGGGTGCAGATTGAGGCCCTCATGATGAGGGAGGCAGTGGGGCAGGAGCAGACGCGTGGGGCGGAGCACAGCACAGCCAGGGTGGGGTGGATCATGGGACAGAGGGGAAGTGGGGAGGCCTGTAGCCAGGGCTGTGTGGGGCTCTCCTCAGCAGGGGCTGGGCTCAGAGTGGGCACCAGCAGTGCTTGGAGGATGCTGCATCCACCTCAAATTTCACCACTGCTCCGCTCCCAGTGCTGCTGCTGCCAGCCACCTAGTGCAGCCCAGGCTCTTTCTGGGATGTGGGTGGAGGCTAGGCGTTGAGCCAGGGCTGCGCTGGGCAGCTGGTAGCACTGGGAGCGGAGCAGTGGCGAAATCTGGGGTGGATGCAGCACCCTCCCAGCACTGCTGGCACCTGCTCCAAGCCCAGCCCTTGCTCAGAAGAATCCTGGCTGCAGCCCACCCTGCCATGTGCCGATCCAGAGGGTACATACCACCCCTCGCATGCCCTCCCGGGGTGCATGCATTGATGGGAGCTGCCCCCCCCCCAGGCTGTGGCTCCAGCCCCCTCTGCCCTGCCTGGGCTGTGCCTGCCCCTGCCTCACCATGGGGGGGCGTTGATCTGCCCATGCCCCTTCCACCACACTGGATTTACCAGCTTGAGGCAGCTCTCTATGCTGCCAGCTCTGTTCCTTGTTGCCCGAGTGCTGCGGCTGCGTGCAGCACAGGCATTTATCAGCCAAATTTTCAGCCTCATCGGGCTGATATCCGATACAGCTAGTTCTCTTTATATTGGTATCGATGGTATGCACCTCTATTCCAAACACCACTATTTTATTCTTCTAGTTGTATAGTCATAGATGACATACTTACGCAGAGAACTTCCTTTCCCCCACTTGTGTCTTTTTGACAGACAAATGCATTTGTTTGGCTACAACTGAATCAAAAGCACTGGGAGGAATGCAGTTGAAGTAAAGATCACAATGCAAGTGACAGACTTTTTACCTTCTATCATTTCCCAGCACATCAAAGAACCCAACTTCAGGGCAAGCATCAGGATTGTAAGGTCCCAACAGAACTTGTTTGTGCAGGGCCACAAGTCTGAGTTTTTCTTCATATGTCGGATGAAAGGCTTTGCCATCTTTTTCTGCAGAAGAGAGAAAAGAATCTAGTATTCTGATTTATTCATTATGAGATCAGATACGCACACACATACACCAGTGAGAAAACCTCAAAGAACCTCTCCCTTGATTTTTTGCAGAAGAAATTAAGACTCTAATGTGCCCTTAGTGCCTTGGTAAATGAAAGTAATACATTTAAATAAAAACTGACACAAATGTATCTAGAAGAGAGATATCCAGCTTTAGTTATTAGAACTTAGTGCCCTAAGATTTTGCATCCTTGATTATATCTATAGTTGGAAAGCTCATCACAGACACAGCTATTAAAGTAGGCTCACAATGCATCATGTGGATACAGAGTTTTCAAATATTTAAAAAGCTTCTAATGGAAATACTCCCAATATGCCTGCCAAGTCCACTGTAATAGGAGTGCAAAAACCTTTTGTGTGAAGTTTGACTTTGCCTTACGGATTTTAACTCTACTCTTTGTAAAGTTATAAAAAGACTGCACAAAATAAACTAAACCAAGATGGAAGGAGAAAGTCCTGCTTAAGGCAGTCTGATTACTCCAACTGCCTTAGCAAAATACAGTAGTAGCCCACCAACTAAGGGAGTAGCATTGACAATTATTAATAACAAGGCTTAAACTGAGAGGGCTTTGGCCCTAGTGGAGGTGGACAGCATTAAAAACATTCATATATCCATTATATCGATGAATTTAAAGATAAATGATTCTGCACTAGTTCTATAACCCAGCATCTTGTGCAGCATGGCCTGATCTGCATACAGAGAAGTGGTTTTAATTCAATTACATCAAACATTAATCAACAAGGAAAATGATGCATTAAAGATGAAGATTTAAAAGTCAGTCAACTAGCACTACCTCGGCATATTTAACAAGCTGTCAAAATAAGACAGCAGAGCAGTAGCTTACTGAAGAGACGTGTTTCCTGTTTCATAAAATAGAATGAATGATCTCTCTCTCTTTTTCCAAGAAAAATTAGCATAAAAGAGCAGTTATTAAAGGTAACCACAATAGGGAATTCACAGAAAGAGTCTACTGAACTCCAAACCTAACCTGTCCCCGCGCTGTGTGTGGTCATGAATTAACAGTCAAAGCAGCTACAGGTTTTCAGGTGTCAGTTTACCAAATAAAGATGTCAGTCCATCGCACTGGTGGGCTGGACATCAAGAGGACAACTTAACCGAATGGCTCCATAATAGTAAGATTTTGGGTCTGACACCTAACTATGCTCTCAGGATGCCTCTGCTATTAACAGAAAAAGCAGCAGTGTACACCTGGGTAAAATAGCAAAGACCTCTATTCTTTTAGCAATTTACCCAATTAGGGTCCCAAAAATATAAGAATGCCAAGCACCAGGAGAGAAACTAGACATGGGGAGTAAGTAGGAGGCATGTTTTTAATGGAACAGTTCTCAGAAGTGTAGACTTAATTGGTTCTGATTGAATTGTGACTCACTACTACATGCAGGCAATTAGGTTTGAAGCTTGAGACAGAGCGCAAGAAAATAAAGAAACATTTACATCCTCCTCTGGTCCATTCTCCAGAGCCACAATGTTCCTTCCAGAATCTTGAGTATATCCATGACCCATTTTCCCATCTCTGCACCATCACAGTTACTGTGTGGCAATGTACTTATAAACTTTCCATCATACTTTTAAATCATCAACATGAAGGTAAGCTACAAGTAGGAATTAGTACTTCCACGTGTTCTCTGACCAAAATGTTCAACCAGCAAGATCTAGATATTCTGTCTGAATACGTACTGCAACAGAGGTTAAATGATTTTGATTAGTCAAAGCCCCAAATTGTACAACCTTTCTGAGACTTGAAGCTTTGCTTCAGAGGTTGCTGTGGCTAATGTAGGCAAAGAATTTACCAGGCTGATGACACTACAGAAGCAAGAAACATACAGTCGTGCCTCACATCTCAGCCCTTGTTTTGCTTCTTTCAAAGCAGCCTCATTTTAAAAAGCCATTTTCTATTGCACCTCTTCCATATTTCCTTTTGTTTAAAATTTGTCTCCGTAGGGCAACAAGTGACAGCTCAATTTCACTTGGAGACACTTCTGCCAAGTTTAAACCAAGTTTTCACTAAGTTTTTACTTAGCCTTTAGTGCAGCATGATTCAGAAGGCAGGCTTGTTGGGTTAGGGGCCAAGTTTATCAAATGTACAGCATCAAGCACATCAGGGGCAACGTGTAGGGGGTGCATGCGAGCTCCCCCCCTCCCGAGTGTGGCAGCGCATTCCCTACAAAAAGGTGCATCACCACTTGCCACCCTGCCACTGGTGGTCCACAATCCCTGCTAGCCACCGACGATGCTGCTGGCAGTGGGTGGTCACCAACCCTTGGTCAGTGCTCACTACCCCCCAGCAAATCAACAGCAGCAGCTGCAGGACCTCCCCTGCTTACCACCACTGTGTCCCCACCAGATGCCAGAGGCACAAGTCACTCATGAAGCACATGAATGCGGCTAAGTTGCATTAGAATTGGGACTGAACCCAAGCTGGAGGGGTGTTCAGTTATCACAGCAAGGGAGGCAACTATTTAGGAATTTATGAAGGGTTTCTGCATACAAGTTAGCTCGCTATTCATATGATCATTTTGAAATTGTTTTTCTGCAAGCTTAAATGAAAAAACTGCGGCTCAGATACCATGATGGGCAATTACATATGAATCTATATAAAAACAGGATAGAAGATGGCAATGATTGATTTTACAGGCTATCCTGTGACTAGGTTTTCCAGACGTGTGACACCATCAAAGTATGCCCAACTCTGCTGCTTACAGTCTGCTAAATTTAGCTGCTTTGCTTGCAGTTTTACTGAAAGCAGTTTACACAGAGGTTTTAGTTGAAATCAGTCACCAATTTCTGAAACCCAGTTCTTTGGCTGCAAGTTGTTTGCAAATTTAGCAACTGTTCAAATCCTGAATTAGACAAAGTAAATGGAATTAGTGGAACCTGGTTTTCAGTATGACTGGTTTCTAGGTCATGTTACTACAACAATATCAGTTTGAATGTGAACAAAGCCAATCTAAATTACTTTTTGGTCATTTGCTCTCGACATTTAGCCTAGATTGGCAAGTGAAGTATACTTTCAAGTTGCTAAATATGGTGGACAACTTTAACAATACAAAATATGCATTTGCAGTTCTCTGACAGAGCAATTCCACTGCTCAATGCCAAAGTGTTGACAGTGTAGGTCAGGGGTTCCCAACATTTGTGCGCTCAAGGGGACATTCAAATTTAAAAGAAAAAGCCAATATGAATATTAAAGTTTAGAATTGAGAATCCTGGATATGCGCATAGTTTCGTTTGGGGAGGGAGTAGTAAGCGCCACTCCGTCACTGCATCAGTCAGACTGACTCAGTTTTGTTTTGGTGGCAGTTGTGTACAGCCTGAGCTCAATAGGCAGTGACAGCATTTTTTGTTGGAATAATGATTTTTTACTGAGTGTGAAAATGTGCATGGGTACCTGAATAAACCTCGGGGGGCACCATGGAGCACACAGGCACCGTGTTGGGAACCGCTGGTGTAGGTTACATACAAATGTTATGAGCAGAGCTAGGCAGCAACTGAGGCCAGCTCAGAATAGGACTGATAATCTGTTTCTATGAACAACTGAGAATAATGCATCTGCCTTTTCCCAGATTAGACAAGAAAGCACTCTGAAAGCCTAGCTCCAAAAGCTAAAATAAGGTTGAAATCTATTTTCATGGAGAAAGATACCTCAAGGGAAGGAAGTAAAAAGCTTAAAAAAAAAAAAAAAAAAAGACAGAACTTTCCACTGAGAGTAGAGATAAGGGGTCAGGAAGAGATGTTCAGTGGCTTATGCATAGTGAAGATCAGTAAATGTCATTTTTCTGAGCCAAGAGAATTTGGCCTTCTCAGTTGTATACTGGTACCTATTTTAATTAATTAGAGGGCACCAAGCTATGCTATCACCCACAAAGCTTAGAAATCTTCAATTAAACTATATCATGTGGAAGAGAATGGCTGAAAACATCTGCACCAGAGCTGGACAGACACAAGAGCTAGGTTATCCTCAAGGTTTACCTAGCAAAGGAAGAAGTTCTGGCTCTTTAAATATCTGTGATCACCAAGATTTTCACTACAATCAGAGTTAGCACTGATAACATCTACTGTGGCAAGGTTATAATTTAGTTTCAATTTAATACGTTCCACATTTGCAAAAGGAGCCAGATGAATCGTGAAGAATATATTCCATTTGCCAAAAGAACATGCACTGATGGCAGCAGGGCATCTAATGGTACTGGGAGGCATCCCACCACAGAATGGAGGAATGGATGAATGGAGGGTTAAAAAAAAAAAACCTGAACTTGTTAACAAGGTCCCATTTCTTACCCATGAGGACCTTTAATATGCTATGTTCACATTCAGATTCTGCCAGCAGGGATTCTACAGCAAAATGTGAATACTTGGCCCTCTGTACAGAAACAGGTCTAGCATACTTGGCTATTACCAATCCAGAAAGTTTTGTTCCAGATGTGGCCTCTCTTTAAATTGCTGCCACTTTAACAGGATGCTGCAAACAAAGTAAAGATGCACAATGAGCAACTCAACTGACCATCCTTATGAAGGCAGCACTTTAAATCCATGCTAACATGTGCCAAGTCAGTAGGAGCCAACAATTTTGGCAGATATGCTACAAATCAGCCCCACACCCCAAGTGCCACTCCAATCCCCATCTACTACTCTGCTCCCTGCCCCATCTGCTTTTTTTCCTTCCCTGTGCTCTGCACATCATTTGCTGCTTTGCTTTCCAATTCCTGCTCTCTGCCCCTGTATTGCCTGTCCCTGATCTGCTGCATGCCACAAAGAGGTTGCCTGTGCCACTTGTGGCACCAATGCCACAGGCTGGCCAATCCTGCTCTAAGCAAGCTATACCTGCTAACAATAAACATAATTGTTATAGTTTAATGTTTGGTGGCAAAAGTAGCGTAACCAAGATGAGCCTATTTCCGAATGAAATAGCAATGAA